AAAAAAAAAAAAAAAAAAAAAAAAAAAAAAAAAAGCCTTGAACTAAAAGACTGAATTAAGACAGAATTACAGAATTATAAGAATATTCATCTTCTTAAGCAAAAGTCAATAGTTATTTCAAAGGAAAATTCGGTAAAATTATATATGAAAAGAGCGTCTTTTACTCTCACTCCATCCCCACTCTGTTTTCCTTCTTCTTCAAATATAAAAACAAAGCTGAAGTGATTAGAGTGATATCCATGCTGACTAAGTTGCTGTTGGGCTGAGCAGATCAACTCATGTAACCACAGCGGCATTCTTTCTTTACCTCTGGTCCTTACGATTTGCTGGCAGACAGAGAAAAGTTGGACTTTAAAAGGATGCCYAATTAAGAGAATTCACCTTCAGACCACTCTTTAGCTGCAACATCATGACAGAGGACACACCGCCATCATTTGTGCTATATTCTGAGGTTGAGACATTCTAGGGTAGACATTTGGAAAGCCTTGTTAACTTTAAAGCTGCCAGGTCTCCCAGGTCCCCACTAGAGAGTACTGGCACAGTTGGCCTTAGGTGCTGATGAAGATTGCCTCGTTTTCCAGCTACAGCAACTTGTAAGGAAGTGCATTAGCTAAACGTGTCTTGGTAAAGTCAAGGGAAAATGTGTGCAGAGGTTCTTCAGAGTTTCTTCAGTTCTACAAAGAGTCAATGTTTTTTGACATGGAGTGGTTATTTCTGCATGTTTTCCCATGCTGAATATTCTAAGGTCCTTAATCCAGCTATCTGCGCTGTTCATGAAACATGAGATGTGCAAATCTGTTTGGAAGGCACCCTCCTATCCATCCAGTCTGGCCATGGCTGTTCAGTCCCCTCAGCCCTACACAGATGTGCTCTCTTCTCACCTCAGGAAAGTCCTAAGAACTGTTTGTTCCTCAGTCCCCCATCTCTAAACCACAAGGAACTTAACTTAGTTGTTTCACGGAGATGTCATAAGACTGATTACCTAATCTCTATAGAGCTTGCAAAGAGAATTGTATGACGTGCTTCCTTGGAAACGTGAGGGAGAAGAGAAGATGACTGACAGAATATAAGAATTGCCAGACTGAAGGTGATTTCCTGGTCCTGTGATCCTATAATAACACTGCAAATGGTACATGACTGTTAAGAATTATAACGAATGTAAAAACACAACATCCATTTTAAGAAGTCTACCATGTTTTGGCTTTTGAAAAAAAGCRCCGAGTAACATAAAGCTGACATATTGAAGCTGAATTAACTTCAGTAGAAAACTACTGGCCTTTCTTAAGATTTGAAATATGAAGAAGTACAACTAATATAAGCTAAAATTTATCACTTCATCAAAAATCTTTCTTTTTATGCAACCAATAATATTTGTTTTGCTTCAGATAAAATTAAAAACTTTATGCTTTCTTCTTATGTCAATGAAGTGGCACTAGAACTGATTTAAGACATTTTTCCGTTCCTTCTCATATGGCTGTGAACACTCTATGGTTATGGTTATTTCTATAATAACCAGGTGCCTTTTGGGGCCAACACAAGTGAAAGCAGGTTGGCTGGTGCAACAGTATTGCCAAACAAGCTCTCCCCAGGCAATGGCATAAAATTATTTAGAAGCTGAACGGTCCAACCTCCAGAGCTAGAAGTAGCAAGGTACTTACTCACTAGGTGAACACCTGCCTCCGACTTTCTCAGGATATACTGGTTTCTGCATAGAAATTTTAATTGCAAAATCCCCAAGCATTTAGCAAGCAGAGTACAAGCAGCTGCTCACTGAAAGGACTCTGTGAAATGCGGTGACTTGAAACAGCACCTATACTCTACTGCAGCAGTGACAGATAAGGGCAGTTTCGGCTGAACCTGAGGGACGCTTTGGCAAGCAAGTACGCAGCATTAGCCAGAATTTGTGCTCTCAACAAAAGTGCCACAGGGATTTAGTACCAAGAGCATCTTCTGATAGGAATTAACGATATTACACTTGGGTATGGAAGAGTAGTGGGTTTAGTGTCAGGAAGAGCAGGATCCACGGCTGCACTGCCTCTYGACTTACCGACCTGAGAGCGCAGTTTGCGGAACGCCCCAAAGCCCCCAGCCAACCTGGACTCCGCAAGCGGCAGGAATTTCCTGAGAAAAAACCATCCCAGAAACACCCCAACAAGCCACCTCGCGGGACATCCACAACGCTTTGCGATGCGAGAAATTTTCATGAGAGAATTTTTTTGCCACCCTCCCCTTTTGTTTTTCTTTTCCTCGGGCTAAACCTGCTGACCTCTTCCCAGCCCAAACGCTGCCCGCGCTGCGGGAAGGAGGAGAAAGGAGGAAGGAGGAGGAGGAGGAAGGAGCAGAAGGAGGAGCGTCACCTGCGGCCGGAGGCCGGGCTGGCCCGGCCCGGCCCGTGGCGTCGCGCGCTCCTCCCGGCCAGGTGCGCGCTGGAGCAGGAAGCGGCGGAGCGGAGCGGAGCGGAGCGGAGGGACGGCCGAGCCGCTCGCTCGCTCGCTCGCTCGCTCGGAGCCCGCGCCCATGCGGCGAGATGGCGGCGGGCCGGGCGCTCCTCGCGCTGCTGCTCCTCGCCGCGCTCCTCTCGGCCTCGGCGCAGCTCCCGCGGCGGGAAGGTAGGGCCGGGAAGGGCAGGGAAGGGAAGGGCCGCGGCGGGAAGGGAGCGTAGGGCTGGGAGGGGAAGGGAGAGGGGAGCAGCGCGGGCGCCGCGCTGCCAGGCGGGTCCCTCAGGGAGAGGGGGCGCCGCGCGAGCCCCTAACGGCCGCGGGCCCCTAACGGCCGCGAGCCCCTAACGGCCGCGAGCCCCTAACGGCCGCCGCGGGGGTCGCCTCACAGGGCGCCCCGTCGGGGTCTCGGCGGGAAGGAACCGACGCCCCCCAGAGGCTTGCCTGTCGGTTTATTTTATTTTACTTGATTTTACTTGATTTTATTTTACTTTACTGTTGTCCCCCGCTAAGCTTTCGGGAGGTGCACGGTGCCCCGTGGCGAGGGTGGCACGGCGGGGAGCCGCTCAGTGCGGCCACCCCCTGCCCACGCCTGGGGGGTTTCCTCTCCTCTCCATGGAAGGTGGTTAAACCCCCTGCTCTCCCGGTCTTTTTCAGTGCTGGCTTTAAAAATTATTTCTTAAAGTGCCGCAGCAGTACCACAAACATTTCTTCTAACTTATTTCTTATTTTTTTTTTATTATACACCTGGTCTGCGGAAAGGAATGTGCGTTGGGTGTCTTTCCTCCTATAAATGTGTAAAGTTTTACAGGTCCTAGTAATCCTTGTCTGCTTCCCGGAATGAAAAGTTTCCTCTGGTGTGAATGACCCCACTTTTGCAGGGAAATGGGAGGAATTCCTTCAACATTGTTTCCTGCTCTGCAGTTRTTATATATACTTTAAAACTTGTTGAAATAAGGGCCTGCTGCAAGAATCTGTCATTTGCAGGCTTCTTTTTCTTTTTCATAAATACTACTAAATCTTCTTAATAGACCACCTGATAAGCTGTGCATGCTGGCCATCAGAAAGGGCTGTATTTGCCCAGGTAGTCTGAGGCGAGATTGCTGCTCCCTCCCAAAGCTGGTTCTCCCTCGAGCTTCCTTGCTGTTTGCAGCAATCCTGTGTATACAACTCGCACAAAAAAAAAGGAGCATTAAGTCCTGTCCACAAGCATGAAGGAATTCAGCTTACATACACAAACAGAGCATGCGGGATTATCTTCAGTTTCAACATCTGCATTGCCAAAAATGGAAGCAATGGAAGTTCAAACCTGAACGTGCCATTTTGTAGCTGTTAGTCCTCACAAAGAGTCTCCAAGTAYGACTTTCACGAGTACAAAATAACTGCCAAGGTATCTGTAGTCATTACGAACAAGCTGGAGTCTGAAGTGAAATTTAYGTCTCTAACATTTCTATCACCTTGGTTATGTTTACGTGTGGCACTCGACCATCAATCATTACTCTAAACATGTGGTTTAAATTTTGACTGTGTAATCTGACAGCACTGAGGTTTACGTTTCAAGCTATTTAGTCTAGCCCTTTTAAATAAAATATTCTTAATTATGTATAGCCTGTAGGAATAAAATTAATGGCAGCTATTTCCCTCTCCTTTCAAAGGATAAAGAATACTTTATTGAGGTTAACTGTGTTTTCTTTTTTAAACAAAACAAATTTGAAAAAGTTTAATTTTTTTTCTCAAGAAGAAGAGGAACTAGACTTTCCAAAGTTCTTTCATCATTAAGGAAACTAATCAAAAAACTGTCAAGTGCATTTTTTTCCTATATGAGTCCAAATCTTTGCTAGGATATGTGGCAGCCTATTAGTCATATTTTTCATCAGAACCACCCTCAGAGTGTCTGCTCACGCATTCTTTCTTGCTTTGTAGCTGGGCTACATCATCAACACTTTCTATACCTTTTTTTTTTTTTTTTTTTTCTCTCCATGAATCTTCTCAGTGCCGCCCATGAAGCTTCACAGATCTTCCTCTTGAGGTGCAGTACAACTCTGTCCGAGCCAATGTCTTTGATTTTTGCTTGTTACCGTCATGTACCCAAACTTCTCCTCTATTAGGTTTATAACATCTCCACTGGGATTATGCATTCACCCATACTGTTGGCATTTCAAAACATTACACCAGCTTTTTGCAAAAACAGAAGACTTGGCTCCATGGCAGGAGTGAAATTTGCCCATAGCATTATTATCTTGTTGTTGTTGGACCTAATAGTGGGCAGGGTATTGGCTGTGTGGTTGTACAGGGCGCTCTGGGTGCCGCATCTGCCCTTGGAGAGCATAGGGAGGCTAACACGGCAAAAGCAAATCGGATGGGAAGGCACAGGGGAGTTGAAGTAAGATGGTGAGTTAGATGAGGAAAATCTAGGCTATTCTTATTTTTGAAAAACTTCTTTAAAGACAAAAATCGTGTGTGCCCTGGGTCTTTCTTAGCTTAATTTAGAGGAAATGGGGAGCGAAGGGGGGAAACAGTTCTCTTCACAACCAGAGAAGTTATACAAAACACCCTGGTATATCTAATGGTTGGTGGTTGCCAATGGAGGTCCCCCTTCCTGCTTTGTCCCCCATCCTCCCTATCCGTGTGTTTCCTTGCCCCTCTTCTGCACGAGCCGCAGAGCTTGTGCGTGCCGGGCTGCTCTGTGGTCCTCCCRTATTCACTCATGCAGCATCTTCCCCTTTCCCTCTAGGAGCCTTTCCATGCGCRTGTCAAACAAGACAAGTCAAATTTATTTTCCTTTCTTTTTTTTCCCCCTCTTGATTCAGTGTTATGCACAACATAAATAATTAACTGAAACACAGGCTAACTTAAAGGTGGAAAATTACATAAAGAAGTTCATGGCAGTATAGCTGTGTATAGATGCTGGAGTATGGATCAAGTGTTAAAAACCTGACCTTTTAAATGTGATTTCGAATTCAAATATGTCTCTTGAAAGCACTAATAATGAAATTAATCAGACTTTTGTAAAGTCTGCGAGGCTGAATTGTTCTAAACATAAAATCTTGATGATTAAAATTTGTAGATATATTTTTGCATGTATTTATTTTATTTTTTCAGATTTCAGTGAATTATCAGGTAATGTTACTTTGGTTTATGCTCCACCTTTCAGGTAAGTTTTCTCCTCRGCTGACTGATTAGAATTATACATGAATCCTAATATGCAAAACTGCTTCTTTTCAGAAAGCAAGCTATTATCAGCTGCTTTTTGGTGTTCTGAAGTAGCACTGATGTTATAAATAATAGGCCTAATTTTATTCCTGTGAAAGTCAGCGGAAGCTGGATTATTTCCGTTTTGAATCACTCTTCTGTTTACTCGACGAAGATCTCTCCTTTTAAGACCACAGTTGATGTGCAGGAGTATTCAGTTGTACTTTATTACCTTTGAGCGCTTAATGTTTTCTCTCTAGAAATTGAGGTGTGTATATAGCAAGTTTCTTGTTTTGGGTTTTTTTTTTTGCTTGTCTTCTGGTCCTGCTAGCTTAAATTTTTCACTTGGAAATAAAAATATGTTTATTTTCCTCAATGGTAGAYGATTAGTGTTTTGCTCATGGTGCCTACTGCTTCCCTTTTCTGCTGTTGCACTGATTCCCAGGTCTGCGTGGCTGCCTTGCGAACAGCACTGGGAGGACTAACCCAACTGAAAAACAGTGCCAGAAAGGGGGGAAACAGGCCAGAAAGGCTGTTTTTTTTTTTTTTACTCACTCATCAGCACTATACAGTGCTGTGCGTGGGCACAGAGCACTTGCTCTTAGGTGATGAGCGGCACAAGGGATAAGTGCAGAGGGGCAACAGCAGAGAAATGAAGTGGGAATCTGGATACCACTTGTGCCTGTAGTTCTGTGTCGACCCTGGACCTGTGGTGTGGAGGAAAGAACTGCTTCACCTGGATGGCTGCACTMTGCTTGTTTTCTTTCTGCCTCACATTGTTGTCTTGCACAAATCCTTGCAGTCTAACAGGATTTTCTAGACAGGAGTCAGGACTTGCTTTATGAAATAAGGGGAAAACCTTTCCTTTACCAGGTAGCAGGTATGTGCYGTAGCAGTTGTTCTGACTTGTTAATGACTTAAATGAGTTTGTCTTATCTGTAATACTGGAAGAGGAAAAGCAAGTGAGAGGAGGAGAATTAACCTCTAGCATGTTGAAATTCGTAGTACCAATATACAGGCAAAAGACAGTGCTTGGTTTATTGAAATGGTCCTTATCACCCTGCTCGATTCTCACACACACACACSCTTTTTTGTAATAAAAACTTAGGAATTCACATTTGCTAAGATCATAGTCTTAGGGCAACATCTGAGCAGCTTTGCACTTAGTTCACGATAGAAATATTTCATGTTAGACCAGATATAAGGAGCTGCTCTTTCTCAGCGAGGTGGCTGAGATGTGTTCTACATATGCAGGCAGTTCTGAAGCACAGGTYAACTTCCTGCAGGAGCGCCCCAGTGAGGCAGCTGACAACAGTAAACAGTGTCCTGTTTGACAGGGATAGTGTGTTTGCAAGTTGATTAGGTCATAGATGAATAACTTCTAACCTTCTTCCTTCCCGACTTCTCCTTACTGATTTTATTTTTATTATTATTTACACTTTTGTGCTTTATTCTTGGGCCCCATTTGCGTATTTCTGTGCTCTTTGCTGTTTCAGGTGGCCTACCTTGAAATGACTCTAAATTTTTTGGCTCTTTGTTTTTATATATATGGGAACAAGCTGCTGTCATCACCTGACAAGCAATGTATGTGTGTGCTCCTGCTGCATTTTGTCATGTTAGAAAGATTTCTGTATATTCTCTATGTTTCCCTTACGTGTTGGCAGATAAACTGGTTCTATTGTATATGGATTTTTTAGTGGCTTGCATTATAACTAGATCTATAAATAAGAGTGAAAGGTTAGAGTGAATGGGGGAAAATTACTTGCTACTCGAAACAGCTTACAGTAAAACATGGCTTCTGTTCTTGGGAAGTGCTGTAGACAAAAACAATCTGAGAAAAGCAAACACAAAGCTGTGTTCGTTCATGTTCCTGGCCTGGTGCTGCCTGGTTTGTAGTGCTGTTTTATTGCTGAGGCTGTTTGTAGATTTGGAAATCTGGCTACTGGTTACTGCTTTCACAAATGACTTGTTAAAATGAA